ATTTTCATTTTTCACGCTTTGCTCTCGACATTTTCATTTTTTACATTTTGTACGTAATGATATTAACAAGGTTGATTTCGACGATGTTTCATTTTCTATTTCGTATATGCACATGAGTACATGAAAAAAATATGTGCAACTCTACTTTATGCATCGCTTTGATTCTTCTAGTTTTTGTACTTCAAAGGCATCAGATGTACACCCAGAAAATTCCTTTCATTACGGTGGTGAGCTTTGGTGACTCAAACACGGATACAGGCAATGTATACAAATTGTCAAATTATTCATGGCCGCCCGTTCCTCCATATTATCAAGGTCGACTTACCAATGGTCCGACGTGGGTTGAGAGGTTGGATGTTTCTAAGCTGATAAACTATGCCTCTGAAGGTTCTTCGACCGACGATAAAGTAATTCAAGGTTGGGGAGTCATGGAAACGCAACGCGTGCCTGGCGTTCGCCAACAGATAGAAATTTACTTAAATGAGACTCCCAGAGACATAATTGACTTTGATCAAACTATCTATATAATATGGGCCGGTCTCAATGATTATTACTTCAACGAAACCATCAGTCCATCGACGATTGCGACCAATCTATTGAATGCAGCCAAAGATTTGATCGCAATAGGTGCCTTACATCTCCTTATGTTCAACCAACCACCTCTTCAATCGTATCCATTTATTTATATTATGAATCAGAGTCTCAATTTTACTGCATTCACAATTAAACTTAATGCCAATCTTTCAAATGGTTGCGCAACACTTCAACATGATAATCCAAAGATTTCTCTGAAAGTGTTCGATCTCTACTCGCTCATCTCAAAGATCGTCGCTAATGGGCCCGCGTACTTATTCAAAAACATGATTGATCCATGTTTGAATATTACAATAAATGGAACAGTTTTACACCAATGTGTTGATCCAGCTTCGTATATATTTTTTGACGAGTATCATTTTGCAAATCATGTACACCAGTTGATAGGTGACGGTGTTCGTCAATTTCTTTCATCTTCATCTTACACTAACGATCCTACGTATTCGATGGTTGTTCTATTTTGTTG